ATTGTAATGCTTGTAATGTCCATTTATAGTCTTTACACAGCAGCTTGGCTCCTTAAATGTTTAAAAACCAGCTAATTTCAAGACGTGGGTCACCCGCAGTGTAAGACGCTCAAAGCTCAAGACGCTCAGATAGACGTTCGGTTTGACGTTCAATCAGTCGATCGTTCGAACGTTTGATTTTAGCATGGAATACGCTTCCTATATTTCTCTGTTCACGCTCCACTTCATCTGCCAGTGAATTCAACGATCTTATCAGATCTCGAGCCGCCATGTTTCAAACGATCCAAACGTACCACGCTTCCGCCAATCCCTGCCTTGAAGCAATGATTGACGGAGGGTGGGCGTGGTCAGCTCGGAATGCATTTTCAAATGGAATTTTGCTACAAATATCCCACGGCGTCATGATGAAAATGCAATCCGAAGTGTTCTAACTGTTAGTTTAAATGCATTTAGGACAAATAGCATTTAAATGATCGTTTTGCTACCATTTCTGCTTGAACATGTTACACATCAAATCAATTTGTGTTATACGTTTTCATTTTAATTTCGCAACTTTTAAAGCGTTCAAATGTGCATGCAATTTACATATTAAGACTACTGTTGGAAATGGCAAATGTAAATTATATAATTACATTTTCATTTTACTTTTGCACCAAACTTTGCACGTATGGGTAATGGAAAATGTAAATTTAAATACAGAAATACAATGCCATTTTGAATATTGCGTTGCCATTTTGAATATTGCATTTTAAATTGAATTTCGCTACCTATATGCTTCCATATTTATTATGTCAAGTCACATTCATTTATATAACGCTTTATACAATACAGATTGTTTCAGAGCAGCTTCACAGTAATAAACAAGAAAAACAATGTCATTGTGGCAGAGTTTATCAGTTATGAACCAATGTCAGTTTCAACTATAAAGCAGCTCTACAGAAGACAGTAGTGTCATTTTTCAGCTCAACATTACAAAAAGAGGAACTATGCATTTTTTGTTCTCAATAAGCAGTGTATTTTCTCTTCAGATGGACCCGGATTCCAACTGAGCACTTGCTGCGTGGCTCCCCTCCGCCCCCTCAGAGACGCTACGGACACACCATGGTGGCGTTTGACCGTCACCTGTATGTGTTTGGAGGGGCAGCAGACAACACTCTACCCAATGAACTGCACTGCTATGATGTGGACTCACAGACATGGGAGGTCATTCAGGCCAGCACGGACAGCGAGGTATGAGAGAATACAGAGGAATTTGACTTACAACAAATTTATAAACGGGCATTGAAAATTAATGCTTTTGTTTGTTTAGTTTTTTTGAAGAGATAAATACTTTAATTC